ATTGGAAAGCTTATTTCAACGCGGTCAGTTTAGACTTAAGAACGGACCAATTCGGAGTTGAAACGAGTAAGATATGGCCCTTTGAAGGTGCACTTAAGTGCACATTACATAGTTTAGACAACAAATACAAGTTTTGACATATAAGGCTATAGGTGGCATTTCAAGCCAACCTTTACATGCATTTAAAATCTTTAAGTCTACAATCATCTAAGCAATGATGAATATCTCGCACCAAGTCTTCGTACCTGAACAAATCCTCCAGTAACTTCGGGGTGAGTAAACAAGTTTACTCGTAGAGAATGAGCATACATAGACTCGTTTTCTTTAGAGATTTTTACATTGACTTGAAATAATTCAAAAGGGTCATGCCACCTAACGTCTATGTCAAGGTGAGACTCAGGGAGCATCCTAAGCTATCATAGCTCATTTATAGCATAAACTACAATATTTATGCAATTAAATAATATAAAAGCATGCTATACAACGCAACAAGATATAGATCCTCAAAATCATTCACTTGAAATCCAAGATACGAAATCCACTAAAGTGGTTCATGCCACCTAACTTTTATGTTCCAAATGAGTCTAAAGAATCATCATAGGCTACATTAGAATAATAAAACACAAATCACAATTTCGATGCAATTTAACCAACATTGGAACTTCCAATCCAACGCGTAAAGCACAAATTCTTTAAGTTACCATCTTAAACTTAGAATAGGAAATCAAATAATGAACAACAAGTTACAACATCATCTAGTTATCAACTTGAAATGAAATGCGCAATCAAATAAGGTGGATACTTGAACGTCACACCGGATCAAGCCGACACCATGGTTACTTTAGGGTTACTAGCCCATGGGTAACCTCCCTATATGCGCACTAGACTGTAGAGGGACAATCCCCCGTACTAGAACCAAGCCCTAGCTGTAGTAAAACAACGACATTCCCAAGTTTCCAAAATAAACAAGTAATGCAACAACATATATATATATATATATATATATATATATATATATATATATATATATATATATATATATATCAACATGTATATACAAGATAATCAACTATTTACCATGCACAACCGAATTTGGAAATACAATACATGCTCTAGTTCACAACTACAATGGCATGCAAATTGTTGAATAATCATTATGCAACTTATCATACTTCGTAACAATACTATTCAATAATAGAGACATAACCTCACAAGTATTACACAAATTTTAAAATCAAGACTTAGACATGTAATCAACATGAAATTCATACTCAACTCATTAACACAACAAGGATATAAATTAATTTAATAAGATAACCAACTTCTCTAGATTTCATTTCTCATCTAAACATGCTCAATTTAATATATGTTGTAGTACTTATCATGGTCATAACATAAATCACTTCAAAACTTGATTTAAATCATAAGAACATAATAATGAAAATTAACTAAATTAATCAACTAATTCCCTCTAGATTTCAAATCAATGTCAAATAACCTCAAATTTTTATATGTTAAACAACATATCATGCTCATTACATATATCAAATCAAAAGAGCAAAATGAGCAAGACATCATCATATAGAATTTAATTAATTTAAATTAATTAAATATTCAAATTTCAAAAGTCATTCAAATGACCCCAAATTAATCTATATCAAGCACTAAGTCATGGTCACACCATATCTCAAGTCAAATGGAATACAAGTAAAACATAATTTACTAGAATTTAAATCAAATTAAATTCATTTAATCTCTAGATTTGAAAACTCATCTAAATCATCCCAAATTAATATATACCAAAGATCAAGCTATGGCCATGACATAAACCAAGTAAAAAATGAGTTATAAGCAACTATGATACATCATTTATATCTCAAATTAACAAAAAAACATGCTTACAACTTATATATTAATACAAAAGCAAATAAAGCCACTTAGAAAATAAATTATAAAACCCCATACCTCACAAGAGGATTGTTTCTCATGAATCCAAGGCTAGCAAGCACAAAATGGTAAACCCTTTTAGGGTTATGAAGAGGAAGATGAGGGGAAGAAAAAGTATTCCCAAGGTCAAGTTTGGAAATCAATGGAAAGCCCTCAAAATCAAGGTCAAAGCTTAAGGCTTCAAGCTCCATCCATGGAGGCTAGGGTTTTCTTTACAAGAGAGGGTTTTCTTTATAAGAGAGGGAGGAGATAGAAAGTAAGTGTCATAGAACGTGAGTGGATGAGATAGATATTAAGTGTGATAGAATGTGAGTGGAGAAAATAGAAATCCTCCACTCACTATGTGGTCTTACACCAAGGTCAATACACACAAGTCTTGGTCAATTGCACAAAAACCCCTCTTTAAAACCATAATCCCAAAATGGCTCAAAATTAATTGCAAGACTTAATTTGGAGCGTACACTTGTTACTCATCCAAGCATCCATTGTAGGCTTAATCTTAAGCCTACACTTGTCAACCATCCAAGCCAACAAGTGCACCTATCCTAGGTCAACATGTGGTTTAATCTCCACCCTTCACATGTCATGATCCAAGGGATCAAAGTGTCCCCACACAAATGTCAACAAGTGGACCAATGAGAGTGTGACACTTGTCACACTTTCCAAAAATTACAAAAAGGTTCTTTTTGAAAATATCTTCCAAATTAAATTACAAAATGGTCCCTAAGATGAAAAATAATTACTTTACAGTAATTACACAAATGACCCCAAAAGAAAGAAAAATTCTAAAGAAGTATGCATCCACACCCCTAAGGAAGAAAGTACATAACTTGCATGCTTTTCTATAAAAGTAAAAATACACATAGCATGGAATTTAAATATCGTGGATGCATGCAAAATCGGAATCAAATCCAAACATGATAAGTGAGGTTGTGCTAACAAAGTGACAACCAAGAAAAAGACAAATAGTGAATAGTGTCTCAAAAGTGAAAATGTGAAAATAACTCGGTCCTCAAAAGAAGTCGTCAACCCAAGGGAAAGAGTCTCGGAAACCATCCCTGAGCACTGAAGATGACACTAAGTGACAAAAAACCGAACTCAGAAAGGAAAGATCAATGGAAAAAAAATAGCCGTGAGAATCTGAGAAAAAAACAAAAGAAAGAAAATGACCGGGTCATTACACATTATCACCCCTTCTATTTGTGATTGCTATGGAAGTTTTCTCATACATCTCTGATTGTCCTTCCTTCAAATACCACTCTAGATGCAAAAAGTTGTCCATATCATATCTCGTATTTGAAGACGATCTCATTCTCTTCTCCTATGGGACCTAGCTTCTATCGCCACACTAAAAAATGTTATGGATCAATTTTCTGCCTTCTTCGGCCCAACATTAACAACTCAAAAAGCTCTTTCTATATTTTCGGTATTGATCCCACTCTCATTGATGACATTAAGTGTCTTCTTGGCTGGGTTTGAATGTGGAAGCTTGCCTATCAAATACTTGGGAGTCCCATTGATCTCCACTAAACTCAAACTATCTAATTACAAAAGGCAGGAGGAAAAGATAACAAGGCGAGTCAACCACTGGTCATCTAATTTCCTATCCTATGCTGGAAGAATACAACTAATTCAGTTTGTGTTATATAGCATGGTGAACTACTGGTTGAGCCTCTTCATACTCCATATAACAGTAATTTCAGAGGTGAACAAGGTGTTGAGGAATTTTCTTTGGACAGGTACTGAGTTCAAATACACTGGAGCCAAAGTAGCGTGGAGCAAGGTGTGTCACTCCAAAGGATGTGGTGGACTAGGTTTCAGTAACCTAAGCACTATGAATATTGCGACTAGCTTGAAATACCTATGGAATATCATTGCTAACCAAAGAGAGAATCTATGGACTCAATGGGTTAGGGTGTAGCTTATCAAGGATCTCTATGGACTATTCCCACCCCTCAAGCTAGCTCGAGCAATTGGAATAGACTCCTTCAACTAAGAGGGGTTGTTAGGACTATGCTAAGGAAGAAGGTGGGTAATGGGAAGAACGTAAATGGTTGCATGAGAGAGGCACCTTCTATTTTCGTGCTTCACCAGTCTTCATGGGGAACTCATCCATTGCCCCTGGTCAGAAGCTTGCTTCTCTCGCATCTAATAATGAATGGGTGTTCCCGGCAGACATTTTAGGACAATTCCCTGAGCTCCTTCTCATTGATCCACCAATTGATGCTCTAGACTCTGCGCTTTGGATTCCTTTACCAACTGGATCCTTCTTAGGAAGCCATACTGTTAAATGGCTCTCTCCACGCTTACCTCGGCAATGGACACATTTGGTATGGAACTCTTTCTCAATTCCGAGATGCAAATTCACTTTATGGCTTGCGGTACAGAATTGCCTCCTAACTTTTGACCAAAATTCCATGCAAATTGTCTCAGACTCCAAGCTATGTCTTTTGTGACAATCAATTGATGAATCTCACGAGCAACTATTCTTCGAATGCTCATATGTTCGACCTATTTGGAGGCATTTTCAATTCAAATGTGCAATTCTAAATAAAAACACATCATAAATCGATTTTGTCGACTGGGCTTTGAATCATTGGAAGAGTCGATGCTTGCAGAATTCGATTAATAAACTAGTGCTTTCAACCACAGTGAACAGGATCTGGATAGAACGCAATAATCGAGCTTTCAAATCTCAACGCTGTTCCTAATCTTCCTTTTTGAAACATACAACTGATATGGTGAAACAACGATTAATTTCCATGAGGGCGAAGGACTCCGTTGTTGCAAGAAGAATGATTTTTGAATGGGATCTTCCGGCGTTGTTCATCAGGCCGCCGACAGAACCACCGGATTGATCAAATCAAGGCTACAATGTCGCCTCGCTGAATTGGTGATGTTGGCTGAGACATTTATAGTATAGGGCTTCTAGACTACTGTCGTCTTAGTTTACATATTTGGGTTGGGTGTATGTCTGGCCCATGCTTGTTGTCTGCCCTTGTTGGGCCTCCTTTGTAATTACTATTCATATATATACATTTTACCTTCCGACAAAAAAAAAAAAAAGGTCATTTGTCTTACATCGAATCCGGATGGAAAAGTGATTGGATAAACACCCGTTACAGTTGGTATTAGAGTCAAACCCAATCCTTGATCCGGTGTCACGCCAAGCACTCGGCCCAGAGGGTGTCCGAGTTTACAGCCCAAATAAGCAGGTTGGCTTGAGCCGTAATGAGGGCGTTGCAAGTTTGGATGGGAAAGAATGTAATAAGGGTCATTTGTCCCACATTGGATCTGGATGGAAAAATAATTGAATATAAATAGATGAGTATGCAGTACTACTTAACAACTTGAGCTTTTAGATAAATGAACAAGTACGCACCCATTCAATTAATTTAGAATAAAGATCATCATATGCTCTATGTTCTGCATTTATTGCTACTTTCTTAATTTCTTTAATTGTTTTTTTTTATTTTTTTAAAATTTCACTATTTTAAAGTTTTTTCCTCCACCTGTTTTATTTTTTTTTACATTTTGGACGTGTTCATTCCACCATCAAGTTTTCTTAAATAATGGTCCCATTTCCTTTGTTTCCCTGGGACATTTTTTGCTATTCTTTTAATATAGGAGTATGACATCTTATTTCACATTAAAATATTGACCAAAGTGTGTAAGATGTGTCAGCCAATTGCTAAAAATAATAAAAATTATTTATAAAATTAGGGTTCGGACGTGTGTCTAAGAACGTACTATCAGTTTCCCACAGAGTGACCCCACACAAATACAACACCTCGTCCTTACTTCTTAGACAATAACGGTAGAAAAAAACGATGTGGCAAACATTATGGTGTTTTTCTTTTCCTATTCGAAAAACAAAATAGGGCCTCCGAAGCATATTAGAACTATTTCTTTCAGCCCACTTTTCCACACTTGGACATAGAAGGATGAACGATGTGTCAAGTATTGTTATATAACAGGTGTAACAAGGTGAGAAACTGGTCTTTATACCCAAAATCGATATCTCTTTATTAAAATAAAAAGAATAGTTATTTTACAATTAAAGGGAAGAAAAAAAAAAAATACTCATGATAGAAGAAATTTAAGGATTCTCATATAGAATACATGAATAGTTTCTCCAATTGCTTTAGTGCTAATAAAAGATAATGTGAAAGTCCTACCACTTTTGTTGGTTTTGGTTTTTGTTTTTGTTTCTTTTATTTTTATTTTTTATTATTTTTTTATTCCCATCCTTGTCACGTCTCTGATGCCAGATGAAGTAAATGGGAGAAACAATGACACCATATGTGCTCTGCACCATCAATCTTGATCCCCATGGACCTGAAGGAAATTGAGAAGAAAATTTAAACTTGCCATTCGGGAGAAATTTTTAGATGCTCCCGGACCATTGGTCCTAACCAATCACCATTGGACACGTATATAACGACCCGAACCTAAGGGTCCGAATCACTAATCGGGTCCTTTCCCGAACCCGAGGTCAACTAAGGACACTACTGTCCTTTCCTATATCAATACATAATATACGTGTCATCTCAGAGTTTATAAAAAAAATAAAAATAAAATAATATCACAGCTACAAAAGATATCAAAATAATTTACTAATCTATCTAAACTTGTGGAGGAGCATCGTCCGCTACTTCTTTCCTGTGACCTGAAAAATTTTAAGATATTGGGGTGAACATAATCTCAGTAAGAGGTGCCTAAGACAGACCTCTTATGACCCCGTGAATCCACGTATAGAATAAAAATCAAGAGACCGGGATCATACTATACTGGGAATATAATCTATAATCACAACGTCAAATATAACCACAATTGTCATTCAAGTCACACTTATACCATGTATGCCAATGAAGTGCAATGCCATGCCCATGTCGCTCCCCATTTTCCGAAGCATTACCATTTCAACTTTTAAACCGTTAGTGCAATTCGACCCAAGGCACCTCCAAGGCGTCACGAAGGGAGAATTGGCTAACTATCCACGACCACAAGACACCTCCAAGGCGTTGCATCTGGCATAGTTAGCTCAATTTCTAGTCCTCTCTAAACTACACTAACACCACGGACCACTAGGCGTCTCCTAGGCTTCTGGTTTTCGCAAACACTTTTTGAAAACAATTTTCTCAAAACGATTTCATTTGCTTCAAAAACACTTTTCTCTTTCTCTTTCTTTCCCAATGCATGCATGAATGCATCATGCTTCTAAACACAATACAACTATTGAATTTCACACATGCTTTATATAATAAATTTCAAAATACATAATTCATGCTTTCATTCAACAACGATTTAACATAGTAAACATACAAGGCACAAATTCTATTCCACATAGGCATACTTATACACAAAACATCAACTAACACATAATCATTTTTCTCATATACATCATTTAAGCATGCTTTCTCCTCAAATAACAATTAACACATAACCACACATCACTTGTATAACAATTAAGTCACCTTTGCAAGAATCTACAAAATTTAGGCATGCTTTACGACAATTAATGACAGATAATTCATTAAAATCCAAGAAAATGTGAATTAGAAACCCCTACCTCAAAAGATGAGAAAAGCCCCAAATTATGCTCATATTTTCGAAATCCAAATGTGGTCCAAAAGGAAATCAGCTCCGATCAAAATGATGGTCTTGACGCGCTCGTCAACTTTGCCTTAAATGGCAATATCAAATTCTCTATGGTTTGGAAGAAATCAAAACTTGAACTTGTGAAAAGTAAAAGAAAAAAGAAAAAAGCTGAGAGAACATACTGCTGCAGAGAGGAATAGAAAATGAAGTCTGTAAATGGCCTTTTGGCCTTAAGCAATGATGTGGTATAGTGGTGGATCCCACATGCATAATAAAAATCTCTTTTTAACATTGAAATATATATATATATATATATATATATATATATATATATATATATCAATTAAATTGCAGCCACACAAATTAACATACAACCATGTAAATATATACAAAATAACAATGCATGAAATGCAATAAACCAGTGACACAGCTCCCGTGCACAACGACTCCGATAACTGGTCTCACCTCCGAAAAATAGAAAAATGTCAAAATAACAATCAATACATTTCCAAGAGTCCTGAACTCGAGAAAATGCCCCAACAACTCTCGGAACTCATCCGGCACCCCACGGTATCCGGCACGCAAAACGAAAAAAGATGAAATTACCCTCGAAAAATTCAAAAAATTCCATAACATGAAAAATGGTAAAAATTGAAAACATTACAACGCAAGCAAAAAGATGAATGAAACTTAAGCATTTCCAACACAATTGCCTATGGTGATTGGCCTGAGATCCCGGGACCATAGAATAACTTCTCAAGATTAGGAACACCAAAAAGAACAAGGGTAAATAAATAAGGGATGAAAGGAATTTAAATCAACATTACACAGGTGGAGGACATCTGTGTGGAATATATATATTCTACATGCCTGCATCACTATGTTCAGCTTTTTTCAATGTACCGTAACTCAATTCATCATAAGGAATTCCCAAAGAATGACAAAGGAAAGAGACGTAGCGAGGGAGACAGATTTCACATTTACAATCACTCTTATGTGTTTTGAATTTAACATACAAGGGGACGGAGCACGCGCCAAAGACGGTCGGAATGGAAAAGTCCCCGGGAGATGGGGTTTGCCAGGCTCCTTCCTTCCAACCCTTCTTAGAGTCAGGTTTATCCGAACAGATTGACTGTTTGGCAAGAGGGAAGAGGTGATGGTATAAGTTGTCCTGCCTAATTTTGAAATTTCACACTCTAACTTCTGGCAACTAACCTTCCTATAGTATCAATTTGGAAATTAATCCCCTAGACTTGCACAAGAATGTGCCAACATTGTTGTGAAGTGCTAAATTTCCCTTGACAGAGAAACCCAATCGAGCGTATAATCATCACTCAACCAAAACCAATCAGAACTACATGGTCCCAGCCAATCAGAAGATGCCATGTTGCCAAAAAGCCGAATAAAACTAACACATTTGGTGACATAGCATTTTCTGATTGACTGGGACCATGTAATCCTGGACCACTAAAAATTTCTCGTGTAGTGCGCGCGACTATTTTCAGCATAGAGGGGTGCTAATAATAACCAAAAGTTGATCGTTCGGGGTTTTAGGCATTTTTTTTATTACATTCTACTAATATAGTTCAATCCCTGCTTTTTCAATGATTACATGAGCATAGATCCTCCAGAGCCACTGCAGTTCAGACACTGTATTTTTGCAAGTAACGGCTACTGGAATTGATGAAGTTTTCAGAAGAGTGAGGAACAGAGGCTTTGAATTTGTTGAGAAAATACAAATTTAGCTCAGCAAAATACAACGGATTTTAACACAGAAAAAAGGAACAAGAAGGATCGTTATTTGTCAAAGCAAACTCTGTTGCAATGGTACCAGCAGTATTGCTTGTTCCTATATATAAACATATATATTCCAAGCAATATTTTACCTATTTCCAGCTCCCCACACTGTAAAATAAACAGAGTTTATTTTCGTATCATTTCGTGTATAATTCATATCCAGCGACTCTGTCATACACTGTTCTGGAAGCTTTACGCTTCCAAAGGAAGCCATTGCAAATCCTAAATCACTTAAACACAACGATCAATGAGCAAAAAATAACAAAATCCAGAATAGATAAAGGCTACTCTTCAGGAGTGGTGGATAATCACACTGTATAAGGGGAGAGAATGCAGAAGAGCCTGAAGTATTGCAGCAAATATGTGGGAATGAGTGAAAGCGGCCTTGTTAAAATTAGATTAGATAACAATGATCGGTATTCGTTGAAGAACTCCATCATTAGTTGCTTTGACTCATTTGTTAGGAATAGGAGTCATATGTTGGCAATTTCCCACTCTAAACTTGGGTTGTAGTGTGTTTAGAGTCGGTGGTATACGACAGTTGAAGATCCTGGAGACAATGGTTTGCAAAGAAAACGATGCAAAGTTCATAAGACTCAATTACTATCTACGATACAGGTAAATGGACCTTAGATGTTGGCTAAAAAAAATGGACCTTAGATGAACTAGATCTGATCGTAAAATAGGCTGACAGTTATGTTTTGAAGATATTTTTCAAAATTAGGTTTTTGAATAAAAAAATTTATCAGAAAAATTCAAAATTGAGCACAAAATAAGAACAAAAGGCCAAAAAAAGAAAACTAAAGAAATGTTAGCCAAAACTACTTAAGCATTCTGCAAGGTTGCTGTATGAAAATGGTCAAAGCATATATGATGTGAAGACCATTTTTGGGTCCTCGCTCGAATTTAATCAGTTTTTGTTCAAGCATACAACCACTTGAATATAAAGTCTAATCATATTAAAATGCATGACTACTAAATGCCAACACAAAATAATAGTTTGTTCCACACATTAGAGTGGAAGTTTTGGAGAATCCCTCAAGAGGCAATGCACAAGGTGAGCATAGCATGACAACATCAAGTTACCGACAGACGCTGCCTGAGCAAGTTGTTATCACACGGGTATAACTCACCGCAGTACATGCAATCATTTCATTATTGGGGACTCTCTAAACATATTTCAGTACACGAGAAATTATTGCTATTAAAGGGGAAGGAAAACTTTTAAATGTTGAACAATATAACGTCTTCAGTGCCAATTGATTTGTTTGAGATGTTACAAATCAGTCTTGGAACTAAAGAACTGAAATCATACTCTCATGGGAATCCATCAAGTTGATTTCCCCTTTCAAAATATAATTTCTTTTTTTCTTTTCTATTCTTTTGGCTAAGATTCCATATATGAGTGCAAGTCTGCATTCGATACCCAACTCAGTAGTCATAATACAAGATTTTATAATCTGTAGTGACCAGGAGAAGCACAACTCAACCAATCAAAGTGCATGAAAGCTCGTTTTTTGAAGCATGAAACTCAGAAAATTTTCTCCACTGCTAGATATTTAACAAAAAACAAACATAAGTCTAGAAAAAGTGTATATACCATTCCCTAGCCACCAATGTGTATCATAGGTCTATTCGGTGTCTTTGCAATTTCAAACATTCCAGCATGAGATGCTTTCTTCCTCTTGACCTGAAGCAATGAAGCAATAAAAATATTTGAATCCTATTTGTTTTTGAAGTACAAAAGACAAAAAGAACAACATGTACAAGCTTACAAAGCTGAGGAAGAGGAACACTAGAAATTTCCATCAAGTTCAGTGCATTAAGCAGGAAAATCTAAGGATCTTGGTGAAAGGGGAGAAAATTAAATAAAAGTGAAATTGCTATTCTGAGAATTTGTTTAATAAAAATTATATAGGAAGCTTAAATTAACATAGGGTGACAAAAAAAAAAAATAAATAAATAAATTTTGAAACCATAATTGCCAAAAAAATAAATGAAAAAAGAAGTTACAATATAAGCACAAAAGATGAAGGCATGCTTAAGAAGTTCAATATGGGATGGTATATGTTCCATTCATTGAGCATATAATTTATAGCCCAATCTCTCACCCAAACTACAACCTTTTCCATTATACAAATGTATTCATGAAAGGATTGCAAATGCATACCGCTGCCCCAATAATTTCCTTGAGTTCAATATCATCAACACCACGACGAAGGGGATCCCTCAAGCTAACCTGCAAAGAATGAACTCTGCTAAGAATAATGATGAAAGGCATTCAACAACTCAAGATAGAATTTAACAGAGGCTGCAAGTTCTGGTAAATCTCATATAACAAAAGTAGAATAGTTCCACCTAATTTAACACCTAGTTGCATGTAAAAATGTTACAAAACTCTATTTTCTGATTCCAGCATGCTACTGGAAGAAACAAGAGCTCAAAGCACTACTATCCAGAAACAGGATCCATTTCAAGTTTCAATTCATCTTTTTCCTTTTAAGAGTGCTGGGCTAAAAGGTGAAAAAGGCTACAGATTATAGATGCTAAAATTTGTTTAAATCCACGTATACATCAAGTGATCAACAGGACACAACCATGACTGGAACAAAGAAATTTTAAACTATTATCTAAATTGTAAATTCAAAGCTTCATGATAGCCAGAACTACCAACCTTTTGCTAATTTTTGAATTCAGAACTTCAGCATAGCCATTATACATCTTTTTTTTTTTTTTTTTCATCTTTCATTATTGTACTTTTTCAATATCAACAGTATGAACTGAAACAACAGAAATTTCTCAATCTGGATTTAATAACTTTGTCCCATGATACATGCTATTCATCAAAGAAAATTAAAATTATCTAGAAAGTATGAGTGGATATTATATAAGCAAAGGAATTTGAGGATTTGCAGCATGTGACAAAACATAGGAAATGAGATATTGATTAAACTGAGAATAAGAATGTTATCAGTCTCCCAGTAGTCGCCTCCCATTTAATTTAATAACTTCTTTTAGTTTTTACGAATAATAATATAAAAATTAGAGTATGAGAAAGATATAGGGAAGATTGATGATATGCCTAATGTTGACAGCATCCATGAGGAAAAAAAATTAAGAACAATGTTGCCATAAAATTAAGTGAGAACAATGAGATGAATAAATTATGCGATTGTACAGTCTAAACAGGTAAAGGTACCAAAATAGAAAAGACATTTGTTCGCAACAGCAACAAGGACAGCTTAGCTTTATGGCAAAAAATGTTGCATAACCAGGAAATAGAAAGCCAGCAAATAAATGAAGCTGAAGCAAAACAAATGAGGACAGAACAACGCTGATATAACCAGCAAAAGTTAGTTGAATGACATACAGATGGTACCTGCAAATAACTACATAAAATAAAGTTTCACATTTGAGAAACTAAAAAATGAATTAGCAATAAAGTCCACTTAGCATGCATGTACAAACTGTATAATAGTTCGAAGAGAAAACTCGCCTCTGAAGGGCCAAATAGGCAAACTTTAAAGCTCCCATCAGCCAAAAGTCGCAGCCTATTGCAACCAGCACAGAAATGCTCCGTCATCGACGTGATAAAAGAAACTGCTCCTTGATGCCCTTCTATCCTGAAATTCTTGGCTGTATCTGTGTGATGATCCTGAAGTCTTTTTAGTCCTGAAAACCGTTGAACCTGTTCAGCAATAGTATGATTTAGGATATGTATGAAAGGGCATTCAGAAACCAAAAACATCTGTCAGAGTTCTTCTCCTTACCACTCTGTCCAACATTTCTGAATAGGGTACGAGTTTCCTAACATTCCAAACATTTCCGTCAAAAGGCATAAACTCAATAAACCGGATATTTATTGGTTTGTCACGTGTTAACTCCACAAAATCACAGATTTCATCATCATTGAATCCACGCATTACAACACAATTCACCTGCAAATGGGATACAGCACATATACTTCAGGCACAAATCACAGAAACCTTGATAAAGAACAAACTAAGCAGAAAGCCATAGCTAAGAGAATTAATAATATAATATATCAGTGAAGGAGCAACTAAAAAGAACAAAACTTTTTGAAACAGAAACATGTAAAGGAAAAGTTGACAAGAGCAAACATACTTTAACAGGATTGTATCCGTGATCTACAGCGGCATTAATTGACTCGATTACCCTTTCATGCCCTTTACGCCTGGTCAGAAATTCAAATTTTGCGGGAACCAATGTATCTAAGCTAATATTCAGCGAACTAAGCCCACATTCTTTTAACTTCATAATCTTTCTTGCAAGAGTTATTCCATTGGTGGTCATGGCCAGGGTCTTAAGCCCTTTCAAGTTAGACAGCTGTAAGCATATTTCTTCAATATCTTTCCTAATGGTGGGTTCTCCACCAGTCAAACGAATTTTGTCTACCCCAGAGCTGACAAATAGATTCGCCAAATGAACAATCTCATTCTGTGACAGTACTTGTGGACTAGGACTTAGCTCCACACCCTCAGCTGGCATACAATACTGACATCGTAGATTACAACGCTCCGTCAAGGAGATTCTCAAGTAAGTGTGTAGCCTTCCAAATGAATCAACTAACATGTCAGAAACTGGATCATCTCTTGGTGCATCTTCTGATAACTTTTCACATGAAGTCGCATACATCTTGGAAAAGGATCCATCCAGATGGCCACTTATTAAACCTTGAGGATAATTATATCTGGAATATGACCCTGTTTTACAATTGACCTGCATGTTGTAACCGGTTATTTTTGAGAGAAATCAACAGTTACAGTAAACCATAATTAACCATCAGTATTAACGAAATTCGTGCCCAAGGTTGAACCATAATCAAGAGATAGATAAACTGGTAGACTTAATAAACTAGATATCTCAAAGGAAGAGATTGCAGTTGGGGAAAAAAGAAATCTGATAAAACTCAAAACATCATTGTTTAATAAAAAAACCAATTCACCAGTTGGACATTTTTCGAGAGCATAATAGGATCATAAAACAGTACATAGATTCAATTATTTTTTCAAAGAAATCAAAATAAAATAGATTGAACACCATTCATAAGCACAAAATGTCAAGATACACATGAATAGCTTTTTGTACCCAGAAAAAAGAACATACACATGAATTCAATCATAAGCACAAAATGTCAAGAAAAAACAGAGAATGAAGCCAAGACCTAGAAAATGTGTTTGCAACATAACCCAGGTAGACAATATCAAACAAATGGCAAGCAATGTGGCATATATGGAATCATATATTAAGAACTGAATTATTTCCAGCCTTCTTGGTGAATTGGTGAAGACTGCTATATATAATCCTTTATCATCTACATTGACAAGAAGGGTTCAAGTATTTTATCATCTACATTGACAAGACTGATCCTAAGGTTTAAAGTATTTGGATAAGTTTTTGAGCAGTAGATTTTGCAAAACCAGAATGACTCGATCCAAGTCTCGATTGATCGGCGAATTCCAAAAGAGTTTTTTTTCCAAAAAAACTCTTGATTGAAAGCTCGATAAATTAAAGCAAAGCCAATGTCACTACATTGAGGACTTGATTGATCAACCTATGTGGAAACAGTTTTTCGGAAACTCTCTCAAAACAGATTTTCAAAATAATTAAATTCTTGTTTCACATAGGACTTCTATAGTGGCCATAGATATGGGGTTATAATCTGTCTAGGGTATTCTCTTGAGCCTTTCTATAACTTTGTGAGATTTTTATTTTTAGATGGAGAAAGCTTTGAAAATCAATATAGGGTTTCCATTGACCATCCTACTTTATGTGATTGAGAGATTCAAAGCAAGGAGAACATTAGAGAATCATACAATGAAGTATTCAACTGGTCAAACTTGAAAACTAAGGACTGAACAACCATGGAGGGCAAGCTTAAGGGATGATCACGCTCGTTGACTGACAACACGAAGGACCTTGGAGGAATACTTATAAAAAAAAACGAAGGACCTTGGAGGAAGCATCTAGCATAAGTTTGGGTCGAGAGGTAACTAGGTATTTCTAGCATTGGAAACCTGTGTAACCTAGTTGCATATCTCTCTCGTAGTGGATTCTTCATGGTCGGACTAATTCCTGTGTTTTTCCTTTTATATGTTTGTGCGATTGCAACAGATATAAATGTTTAACTAATTAACAGGATATTAAAATAAAATTAATGGAAATTTAAAAAGATAGTCAGAAATTAATATCCATAAGACCTCTTCGCCCCTCTAGGTGTAATTGAATCTACTTTGACATACTAGAGCCTTTGGTAACAGTCCTCATATTTCTCAAACATATATTGACACAAACATATGGTGTGCAAGCATGAATGTTTTTCCTTGAACCTCGTTATAAGGTATTACGAGTTTGGCTATAATGAATATCAGTAAATCTATATTCATTTCAGACTCTAGTGATTTATGCAGCATATTTACTTACATTTTGGCAAGATTACAGAAAAAGCACATTTTGTCAAACAATTGTTATGTCCTAAAGACAGCTCTTTCACACCACTCAACAGCTTCTCTTCTCTTGCCAGATTTTAAAATTTTGGAATTTAAATTACGCAATTCAATATAATCTTTTCTCACCAATTTCACTTAGAAATTGATAAGATACTCTTGACACAAATTATCAGATCGGGGACCTTCTGTTTCTTTAGATGGGGGCTTACTAGAGGAGGCTTGGAGCAAAAAGAGAGGTAAATATTTCACACCCGAAGCATTTGGTTGTGTTTCATGTGTGCATATAAGTTCTGATGCTAGAAGCAAGCTTGATCCAAAGTACAGAAAATGTACTTTTATTGGGTATGGCACTAATGAATTTGGTTATCAGTTCTAAGATGATCAAAATTATAAGATTACTACAAGCAGAGATGTCATATTTAATGATAAAGTAATATATAAAGACAGGTTAGCAATAGAATCTACTGATGCAGGTGCTCATGCTAAAAAGGATGAGTATGTTGAGTTGGACGAGATCTATGAAGATGATGTGCGGAGGAGAGTTAACTACAATTAGATAGGTATTGGGAATTGTGGTTATAGAATATTTGCATCTTGAGCAGTTTTAGATGCGAAAATTGCTTTCCTTCATGGTCATTTGGAAGAAGATATCTACATGAGGCAACCATAGGGATTCACAGTGCCAGAAAGGAAAGAATTGGTATGCAAGCTGAAAAAGAGCTTGTATAGTTTGAAGCAAGCCCCGAGATAGTGGTACAAGAAGTTTGATAGATTCATGTACAACAATGGTTTCACAAGATGCCAGGCATATGTTAAGAGGTTTGACAACAGCTACATTATCTTACTTTTGTATGTTAATGATATGCTAATTGTTGGGTCAAGCCTTGAGGAGTTTAATAATATGAAGAAACTGAGTATTTTGCGATGAAAGATCTGGGTGATGCAAATCAGATTCTTGGTATGAGGAATTCTGGAGACAAAGTAGGTGGCACTCTGAAGCTGCCACAAGCGGAGTATGTTAAAAATGTTCTTAGTAGGTACAACATGCAAGATGCAAAACCAGTAAGCACCCCATTAACTAATTAGTTCAGACTGACTAAGGAGCAGTAGCCCAAGATAGAGGAGGAGTAAGCATACGTGGAACATGTTCCATACGTTTCAACTATCAGCAGCCTAATGTATGTCATGGTTTGTGCAGGCTAGACAAAGCTTATGCAATGGAAATTGTGAGGAGGTACATGAGGAATCCAAGCAAACAACATCGGGAGGTAGCAAAATGGATCCTACAATACTTGAAGGGTACCACTGATATATGAATGTGTTTTACTGGGATAGGTATTGCCACTGCAGAGTTATGATGATTCAAATTTGGCTGGTGATGTTAATAATAGAAAGAGTACTACTAGGTATCTGTATGGTGATACTAGGTGGTGGCCACGGATCAGATTAGGCATCAATCCTAATCCAATCCGCTCCCAACGGATTAGAAAAATCTTAATCCGCCACCGATCCGTTATCCCATGGATCGGATCGGATCCGTGTAATAACGGATCGGATCGGATTTAATCCGTGAATTAGGTTTTATTTAAATGATCCATTATTATTATTATTATTATTATTATTATTTTATAAATAATATTATTTATTATTTATTTATCTTTTAATCCTAACCCAATAGATAAAATTTTAATTTATCAATATTAATTCATATATTTAAATAATTATTAACTAATACATCCTTAGAGTACATTAAATTATCATTAACTAATTAAATTAACTAATATATTATTTGAATATATATATATATATATATATATATATATATATTTCACGGATCGGATCGGACTCACAGATCGGATCGGATTTTTGATAGCCCAATCCGTGAGCTATGGATTCAATTTTTTTGAATCTGTCACCGATCCTTGAGTGTAGCAATTTGATCCGATCCGCATGGATCGGACCGGATCGGATCGAATTCACGGATTATTTGCCAACCCCTAGGTGATACGACAATGAGTTTGGGTCTCTCAGTTGCAATAGATTGTGGATCTCTTAACCACAAAAGCAGAATATGTTGCAAGCTGGCGAAAAGATGATTTGATTACAGAGCTTCTTGGAAGAATTGGAAAAGGAGTGAGAGAATAGTGTTATGTACAGTAAAAGTCAGAGTGCTATTCATGGCGTTTCATTCCAGGACGAAGCACATACAATTGAACAACTATCAATCGACCCTTGAATGTGTGGGTTCGATCAATGCCTGGAACATCTTCGATAGATCAAAGATACATTAACTTTGATCGACGAGAAGACAAGGTATTTAAGAGGGGCTACTATAGGATATTCCGCACTTGTTATATTGTCCTAATTCTATAGGTGTAGAGTAGTGTGTGTTTGTGGAAGGGGGGAGGAGAATCAGGGGCATAAGAATAGTTTGGATGAACCATGTAAAATCTGTTTGTTCTTGATAGTATTTTTTTCCTTTATTCTGTTAATTGAATATATCTACAACACTTTTGACACAAATTGGGTTGTGAACACCCTAACATAAACAAAAGTAACATTATAATTTTAATAAAGGATCATTTGTTAAAAGGCTAAAATTATAAATTAGGGATAAATTGTGGGTTAAAAATTTAAAATCTAAAATACGTAAACAAGCTATAGATCATAAGACTGGTTTTTAATTTAGGGACAGGTACATTCTAAAAAACACATTGCCTGCTTGATTAGTTAACAATTTTGTAAATAAAAACCCAGAAACCATATTGAACAAAGCATACTACAGCATTACAAAATGTAAATACATATATATATATATATTTATCGACACACACACACACACACACAGAAATATATGCGAGTGTGTATATGAAACTTACTGAATTAAGTCCTCTGAATCCCAGACGCCACTCAAAAACTCTTGATACATAGCGCCGCATGGTCAGAGCTCAAACCAATGAAATCGGACAAACCCAATTGCTTCGGTTTCGGCTGGAAATTTTCTAAGATAAAATGGAGGAGTCGGATACACACAGGATTTTTGTTAGCCGTTTTGGTTTCTGTTACTCCAGTTTTGACCAAGTTTAAAAAGGCTAGGATTTGACTGAAAGCCTGAGACCCAAAAGTAACTTGAAATGTAAGATGTCAAAACCACAGAAAGAGACGAGTCAAAGAAGACACCGCCACATGTATAAGATGAGAACAGATATCCCACCTTACTTATGGGTCTGCCAAGTGCCAAGAGGCAAAAGCCAACTTGTTCATTTTATTATATTATCAATTTGTTTATTTTATTATTTATTATTTATTATTATTTTTTTTTTAATAAGAAATTTCTGCACTCCCCGCCATGGTTCGCAGACACAAAAACGCACCGGAGGGAGAGGGTCGAAGCCAGGCGCATCTCCAATGAATGCAACTACTAGTCCTCAAATTTGTTTTGTTTAATTTACTCTAGTGGTACACATAAAAACCAAACAATAAAACATATATGGTCTGGGTAAGTGGCGGACCCAGGATTTTAAGACAGTGGGGGCACCATCAACCATGATAAGAAAAATTGCATAGGCTTTTCTGAATTTTAAAATTTTTGTTTGGCAAATGAGTTAAATGAGGGATAGTGTTGAATATTAGAAGTTTTTTTTATGGTCTTTTATGAATTCTTTAGGAGTTCAGTCGAGGCACTTTTATAATTATCAAAATTTGTGAATAGAAAATATAAATAACAGAAGAATTAATAGCAAATGAGTAATTTTTTTTTGAATTTTAATTCTCGGACACGAGTCTTTACTGCATTTTAAAAATCTTATTGAGCAAATGCTTTAAAAAATGAGGAATCTTTTGACATTTACGAGTTTTTATTAAGGTTTTTAATGAATATTTTAAAATTTCAGTAGGGACAATTTTAGAAATATCAAAACTTAAAAGTAAAAAAATATAAATAACTGAAAAATCTAGTGAGGGCATTACCCAACCTGACTCTGCCACTGCTAGTCTGGGTGCGTTTAATATTGCTTTCGCTTTCTATTTTTGCAATTTCAAGAAAGTAGAAATTTAATTTTGTTTTCTTGAGTGAAAATAAAAAAAACAAAACTGAACGTTTATTAACACTTGTTGTCATAATTTTGAAAACAAAAAATAAAAACAGTGTTTAATAATACATAATTATTAGAGATGTACATAACATTTTTTAATTATTTTATTTTATTTTTAATATTTTTCATTAGTACCAAAAAAACCTTAAATATGTAATAATTCAATTATATCACAAAAATTAAAAATGAATAATAAATATAATATCCAATTTAAAATCACAAATTTTAATAATATCTAATACATATGTACAAAATAAGATATATTAGGACAAAAACACTTTCACCAATTATGTATATAAGTGCATACATATGCATCATCTACACATTTATTATATAATATATTTAACATATAATATCCTATAATAAATAAAAAAATGTTAAATAATATATCTATAATATAATATAGATATGGTATATAATAATATATTATATTTGTTGCATAATAATTTAATAATATTATATAAAATAAATAATAAATATATAATTGGATAAAGTGTAACAAACACTCTTGAACTTTACTCTCTCTTCCAAAAAAACACCCCGTGAATTTTTATTTTTAAGTTTAATCCCTGAACTATCCATTTTCTGGCCAAAAAAGACGAGGCGACACTGTTCAGCCCTCTCACTATCACGTGACCTGAGATATATTTTCCAAAGGCCTTTTTGGTGGCAAAAAATTAAAAGAAATAAAACATATATATATATATATATATATATATATATATATATATATATATATATATATATAAAGCACAATCATTACAGAGGAGTATTCCTGGCAGCAAGGATGAGAGCTCAATCATTACAGAGGAGTATTCCTGGCAGCAAGGATGAGAGCCATTGAGCAAGGTCCAATTTGAAAACCCCAAATTGTTGATCGCCATCGCCATGTATGTTTATATATATATATATATATCATATATGTAATACGTATATGTTATATTGGGCATAAAGTTACAAACCCTCAAATCTTACAATTGATATATACACACATAATCTGAATGGATATCTTAAGTCTTTCAATCATTCTTTTGGCTCAGTTTTTCAGAAGATGAGAATTAATGGCGGAATCATTAGTCACTGAAGGGAAAAAAAACCAACAATTTTAGTAACATAAAATAGAACACCAAAAGAACCATAACATGAAAATTATCCTCAAATCAATGTAAACAATGAAACTATCAATGCTAACCAACAAATCTGCAAACCCATCAACCACATACAAAGAAAATAAACCCCATACCACACCAACCCATCATCACCTCCAATTCTCCAAACAAAGTTTTTTTTTTTTTTTTTTTTGCCCAAATCTTCAAACCCAACAACTTTGGAAAGCTTAATCATGGCGGCACGGATTACTCATATAGAAACAATAGACATGGCTGCCGGGAAAGGACAAACAGTAACAACAATAGCAATATCTAGAGCTTCAGTCTGCCAATGATTTAATCGAGGTTGATTTCATGATTAATTTGGTTGATTAGCCAAATCAGGTTCCAATCATAATATAAGGAGTCGGCCACCGGTGAGGTCGTGAGCTGGTCGGCCAAGTCGTTGCGGTCGGTTGCCAAGGAGAGGATACTGAAAGAGAGCGTAGAGAGAGGGAGAGCGTTCTGTACTTAAGGGGGTGTTTGGCGCTAAAATAGGAAGTGGGTAGAAGGTGATTGTGATAAGAGGACGATGTGTCACACTGCTATTGGGTTTTGAGATTGTATTTGACAAACCATCAACACCAGTTAGTAAAGCAATAAAACGTTGTTGCTCTACGAAAGGATACGTTTGTAATTTTGTATCTTCGGTTATCTCCGGTGATAATAACTTTTGCTTTTGTCCTTAAAATTCACTTTTTAAATAATTTAGGAGGTATTACTTAGTTTAGGGGGATTTTGTTTTTTTGTTGAAAGTTCAGGGTGGTTTATTGCCCTTTATCTTAAATTTTTTTGTCCCAAAAAATAATTTACACTATTATATAATATATTATATTTTAAAATGTTTTTTTGCTAAATAAAAAATAATTCACACTAATATATAATCTAATTATATATTAAAAAATATAACTTTTATTATCATTTAATATTTAACGTTAGTATATAACATGAATAATATAAATTTTATTTGAAATGAACCGTGTATATGTAATAATAATAGTGAAAATGTTTTTACTCAACAGTATCGAAAACATGAGAAACACATTTTTTTTGTTTCATCTTTTCTTCACAAAAATGAAAAACATTTTCTGTTATAGAAAAACAAAAACATATTATTAAGCATGATTTTTGTTTTTGTTTTGCTTTTTTAGGGGCTGACAATAGAAAATAGAAAATGTTTCCCGTTACTAAACGCGGCCTTGTTTGCTATGTGTTATGATATTATTTTTCTGATATTGGTATCTAAATTTGAGCCATATCATGTTTAGGACAGCTGATATTAGTTTGAAATAGTTCATAACATGTCAGATTTTTTGATCCAAACCATATCACCAAATTGATGATATTGTGTGTTTTGGTATTGTAGCGGAAAAACTAAAACAAAATTTTGAATTTTCCAAAACAATTTTTCGTTACCAAACATAATTTCGATTTCTACCCAAAACACTCTTACAACAAAACGGTTGTTTTGATATTAACCAAAAACATATCACCTAAAACACATCACTTACCAAACGGGCCCAAAACGTGCACCCCTTTCACTTTCATATGAAAAATGATAGAAGGATCAATTAGAACACAAGCCGAGTCAATATTTTTATGAACTTTTAAAGACATAACTTTTTAAGAATAAAATTACTCTTTTGTTATCTTTGGGTATATCAAATTAGTACTTTGTAATTAAAATTGAAAAAAAAAAAAAAAATTAGTTGAAAGTTTGAATCAAATTTTTTTTGGAATTTCAATTCTAAATCATCGATTGGTGCTGCCAACCATAACATTTTAATATTTTATATCTTCACATTCTCTTTTAGTCTCTATCATATCCTATTATGGGAAGACTTCATGGGGGTTTTTATAGAAGATTCTCGGGAGTACACCCTAAGTCATATAAAACGGGAGCGAATTCGAGAGCTGGAGCGTGAGAGTAGCATAATTAAGTCATAAGCAGTGATAATTTGAACGAGAGCGCGTGCAAAATATGAAAGTAACATCTATTGAGAATGATTGTGTGACTTAGAATACACCCGGCCTCTTCTCACAAATGATTAGGATGATTTTGAGGTTATTTTTGTCTTAAAAAAATGTATGTTTCCAAGGTGTTGCAAAATCACAAGTTCTTAAGATTAGGTCTTTAAATGCATCTTGCATTAGTAACATATGGTTCTTCTCTTTTTGGTGAAAGCACTACACTGTCGTAAGTACCATATTTTTCTTCTCTTTTGGTGAAAGCACTAGATTTTCATTCAATGTACCTCTGTGGTGTGCCCCTACTCTTTTAGTATGCACATACTATGGAATTACACTCTTTTAGTATGCACATACTATGGAATAACCTTCTCATTGTTCTAACTTATTACTCAAAAGCTCAAACTATTGGATAATAGTGCATACTCCCACCCGAACTCGCAACGCCCTCATTGTGGTCAGGCCACCCTGCCTACCTGGGTGAGTCACACGGACGCCTTTCGGGCCAGACACTTGGCGTGATACCGGATCAAGAATTGGGTATAACTCTGATACCAACTAAAATAGGTGGGCTGTAACGAGTGGGCGCTTGCCCATTTACCCAAAAATTCAAGTTGTTGGATAGTGCTGCATATCCACCCATTTATACCCAATCATTTTTCTATCCAGATACGACAAATGACCTTTGTAACACTAGACCTGCTATGAGTAAGTTTGGAGCTAAAGTAAGTTGGCATCGGATTTGCACCCCAAAAAAGGTAGGAGGACTTCGCATCTACTATAATCAACTATGGAATATCTAAGACATCAATACTCAAGACACTTTTGGATCTTTGCTCAAATGAAACAAGCAGCATATGAAAGGAATGAATAATTGAAGTATTTGATCAAACACAAAAATATTTGGGAACTCAACATCCCTAATGACTACTCTTGGTTTTGGAGAAGGTGTTGTGGGACAGATATCTTGCTCAACCTCTAGTTAAA